AAGAAAAGAAAAAAGAGAGGAGCAAGACTCCATCTCAAAAAAAAAATTGTTTTTTTTTTCATTGTTGTTTTGATTTTTTTTTTGTATGATTCTGGTATTGTGGTTCTGTTTTAAAAAAGTCTTTATGTTTTTAGCTGGGTGCAGTGGCTCAGGACTGTAATTTTCGCTACGTGGGAGGATTACTTGAGGCCAGAAGCTTGAGACCAGCCTGAGCAACATGGTCAGTCCTTATCTCTAAAAAAATAAAAAGTAAGTCTTTATATTTTAGAGTTATATACTGCAATATATGTATGAACGAAATGCTGTGAGGTTTTGGATTTGTTTCAAAATAATCCAGTGTGTGTGTGTGCTGGGGGGAAGTAGATAAAACGTGGTTGGTGGTAGGCTGATGATCGTTGAAGCTAGCTGATGAGCACACAGGGCTTGATTATACTATTACTCCAAGTTTTGTACACGTTTGGACATTTCCATAACACAAAGTAAAAACATAATTACGTGCTTCAAGTCTCAATCCCTAGGTCTCTCACACTCTGGGAGCGGATTTAATAAATTTAGCAAATGCACCTTGAGGTTAATAATGGATTAATACATTGCTGAGGCTAGAGAACATTGACACTTTGACACGGATCTTCAATATCTTAACCTAAAGGAACAAATATCGTGGAGATTTCAGACATTACCCCAATCTGACAGGGGAAGTATTTTGTATTAGTTCTAACTTTCTTCTTCCTTAATTTACCTACGTATAGAATTGGTCCTCGTCACTGACTGTGGGGAGACTTTGGATAATTATTACCTTTTCTCTTCCTTCCTTTCTTTTTTGACAGGTTCTCACTCTGTCATCCAGGCTGGAGTGCAGTGGCACCATATCAGCTCACTGCAACTTCTGCTTCCTGGATTCAAGCAATTCTCCTGCTTCAGCCTCCCAAGTAGCTGGAATTACAGGTGCCTGCCACCTCGCCAGTGAATTTTTGTATTTTTAGTAGAGATGGCATTTCACCCTCTTGGCCAGGCTGGTCTCGAACTCCTGGCCTCAGGTGATCCACTCACCTTGGCCTCCCAAAGTGCTAGGATTATAGGTGTGAGCCACCACACCCGGCCAATGATTCCCTTTTCTAAGAATGCTTTATAGCATCATGGCATTTCGAATTGTGTAACCTTCAAAACGTTTTCTGATGCATCCATTCCTAGGTCTTCATTACTTTTCCAGGACTGGACAGGGCAGATCGAATCCATCCTATAAAGCATGGGAACAAATAAGGATTCCAAAACGTTAATTGGATTTAGTTAGTTACTTTTCGTTTCTCCATCTCTCCATACAGACAGGGAGCGTGACTGAACATCTAGTATATATTCGATATGTGCTGGGTTGATACCATGTAGAGATTTATAAAATGGTGCCTGACTTTGAGGGGTTCACACTCTAGGGTTAAGGCTGTGCTGTTTAAGTGAATACATGTGAGAGGTTGTGGGTTTCATGGAGGGGAGGAAACCTGTACTGAGCCATGCAAATAAGCGGGAGCTCATCACCCACCCGATTTATGTCAGAATCAGAACCCAAAGCCAGGGACCCACCAACAGCTGTCTGGCCTAGCACAGTTTCTGTGTGGCAATTCCACTTCTCTTTTCTCATCTTACATCGCAGTTTACTTTTTCTGAAAGCTGTTATCACGCTGCACGAAATGAAGTCGACCTCTTTGTGTGTGGGAATAGAGGGAGCGTGCTGGGATGCCATGGACGGAGGGCGGAATGCTGTCCAGAGCCTGGTCTCTCCCAAGATATATGGCCCAGGGGCCTTCCCATTCCTCTACGACACAAACGACAGCTTCCTGGAGCACTGATGGTTGCCAGGCGGCTGACGGCGCGGAGAACCTGGCTCATGTTTACCTGTTCCTGCATCCATTACTCACCTCTTCCCACACGCCCCCGCACTTGCACACAAAGCCACAGAGTGGCTTAAAAAAAAAAGAAAGAAAGAAAAGCCTCCCCTCAACCCTATTCTAAAATGTCAAGTGTTTCGGTTTTGAGAAAAAAGCAGGCTGAAGAAACCATGACTCATGACATGGGCTGACAAACAACGATCTGAAGGTATGCTGGTGAGTCACCGCGGAGCTCTGCCTTTGTGTTGTGGCGAGGGAGGGCCGGGGCTGGAAGGAGCGTCATGGGACCAGCCAGTAAAATTCCACTACTCTCCGAGGCCGATTGGGAGGCAATTTAAAAACCCTGGGCTTTTTCCAGCCCCAGTGTTGTGGATGACTCTGTGTCCCCTCAGGTATGTCGATCTGTATGGGAAATCAGGAAGAATGATTATTAATAACTGGAAAAAAAAACCCCTATTATTATCTTTCCATGCCCAATGCCATGCTGAACCCGCCCTGCCTGCTTCTGCAAGCCAGCGAGGCTGCTGGATTTTCTGGAAGGGTATTGGGTTGCTAAGCAACAGCGCTGGCAGCACCCATCATGCCCAGCAATGTCAGCGCCTGAGTGTGGCCTGCAGAGCACACTTGCTCCCCTCCCCCTCGCCTCTCTCGACCTCCTCCCCCCATGAGAACGTTCATTTGCATCTCAGGGACAGGAGCTGTGCCAGGTGATTCTGTGTATAAAACAGCGCAGCGCAGCCCCTGAAGCGCAGATATTGTTTGGGGTTGCAAGGCAGTGCCTGTGATGCGGTTGAAAACAGACTCATTTGTGTTCGCTCGCCACGTAAGGAGTGTCGGCTTCACTTAAAAGCCGGTGCATCAAACACTCCTTTCTAATACGTCCCGGTGTGCTCTGCCTTTAAGTGCTTTCTTCCTGTCTGCCCGTCCAGCATCTTATTTATGCCCCATTTTGTCCCTCTCTTTCCTTCCCTTTGTTCTGTGGTCTCCTGGGTGACGGAGTTAGTGTTTGTGTGTAGGGACGTGTGGAGAAGAGGGAGGCGGTTTTTAGAGGTGAGAGGGCCCTGTGGCTAACGGTGGGAGGCCGCTGTTGACAAGGCCTGTGCTGTGGCAGTTTTGCTGCGGAAGTGGCCATTCTTCTGGGCAGGACTCCACCCGAGCACCATCTATCTGTCCCTTTCACTTCCTGTCAAGAGGCAGCGGGCTTCGCGAGCTGGGGAAGTCCCAGGGGTGGCCTTCGGGGTTGACAGACCTGGACCCAAACCCTTTCTCTTCCCCTAACCCGCTTTGGCATCTTGGCAAGTGACTGTCCCCATTTCTGAAAAGGATGTTCACAGTAAGAGTCTGGTTGGGTTGCTGGGAAGGCCGAGTGTGGTCATGCATCGCCATGGGGGGCCATGGTGCTTATTCAATGGCAGATGTTATCGGGATGGAGTGAGTCCCAGTAGGAAGGGCCCTTAAGATGTCATCTAGTTCCGCCTAGCAGGGACGGGAACTGTCATTCCTCACTCTCCCTGCGGAGAATCAGGGCGGGCTCCGGGTGGGTGGCGGAAGGCTGCACAGAGGTGAGCCTCCAGGGTAGGGTTGGGCCTCAGCCTGCCAGTGTTGGGACTACAGGCGCGAGCCCCTCATCTAGTCTAGACTGAGCTCCTGAACAGGAAATGTGCGGCATGCCTTCTTTGAAGGTGACTTTCTTATTCTGAGTTTTAAACCGCAGCTACGGAAGATGGTTATTGCCTGTGGAACGCATTCCATTGCCTCTCAGAGAAACCATTCCTCCTTAAGGAAAGCTGGGGCCACTCCTGGTCTGGCATTCCCAGGGAAGGAAGAGCCAAGCGGATGCCCCTCCCCCCCAGCCCAAGGCAGCCGTGTCCTATAGTCCAGTTGGGGACCCCGCTCTTTAGGAGGCAGAGAGGGGAACAGGGGGATTGGTCCAGGTTTGTGTGGGTCAGAGCCACGTGAGAATAGTTATAGTAGTTGCTGGGCAAAGTCAATGGGAAGGAGACAGAAAGGCCAAGGCATGCAGGAGACCCCAGCTACAAGGACAGGGAGAGGGTCACCTTGGTGGACAAGAAGGGGGAAATGAGGAGGGGCTCTTGGAGATCCTGCCAAGAAGGCGTTCTGTGAACCCCTCCTGCTGAGACACCCACTGAAGGGTCCACTGAGACACCAAAGCAAGAAGCGTGGATAGGGTTCTCCAGGGGCAGCGCCTGGCATGCACTGGAGGTGATGTGGAGTCTGGGATCAGTGACAAAAGACTCACGTCTAGAACCGTGGTCAAGGACATGAGCCAGATTTTCTGGGGCTCAGTCCTGGCTCTGTCACTTAACTGTGTCACTTGGAGCAAGTCACATACCTCTTGCAGTCTCAGTGGCTCATCAGAAAAATGGGGATTATATATATAATATATATATAATCATATACTTATTTATAACATATGTGTATATATAATTATATATGATTATAATAATCACAAATGGGGTTATATATAATATATAATTATACCTTAATTTACAATATTTATTTATTTTGAGACAGAGTCTTGCTCTGTCACCCAGGCTGGAGTGCAGTGGTGTGATCTCAGCTCACTGCAACCTCCACCTCCTGGGTTCAAGCGATTCTTCTGCCTCAGCCTCCTGAGTAGCTGGGATTATAGGCATGCACCACCATGCCCAGGTAATTTTCTGTATTTTTTTTCTAGTAGAGACAGGGTTTCACCATTTTGGCCAGGCTGATCTCAAACTCCTGACCTCGTGATCTGCCTGCCTCAGCCTCCCAAAGTGCTGGGATTACAGGTATGAGCCACAGCACCCAGCCTATATTTATTTATAATATATGTATGTGTGTATCTATCTCTATCTTTAGGGTCATTTGGAGAATTAAATGAACTAACCCATGTAAAGCTCTGGGTACTGTGCCTGGCATGTAGGATACTTCATAACTGTCACCTCTTTTTGTTGTTATGACCTGAGCATCTCTCTGTTCACCAGCCCTTGTTCCTCAGCCACAGGTTGAAGATGACAGTAGCCCCTAAGGAACCTCAGTTCTATCCCCAAATGTGAAAGCCTTTTTAGTTAACCGCAAATAAGTTGTCAGCAGAAAACTCGTCATTCTGGACTCTGGGGCCATGCACAGCCCTCAGGAGGAGCTACTGTTTTCTATGCCTGTTAACATGTGGCCTGGGGCCTCGTGGGCTATTTGAAAATTAGGACACAAGAAGTCCAAGCATCACCTGGTGATCAAATGGATTCCTCTATCAGAGAGAGGTATGACCTTGAAGGGCATCCATCCAGGAGCCAGGGGCAAAGCAGAAGGTGGGAGGGACTCTCCAGGATCGACCCTCTCAGCACATCTCAGTCAGGGGTATCTGACAGCCTGGATACCAGCCCTGCCCAAAGCAACCCAGAGACCTGATGGAGGTAGACAGCTGCTCAGCTGGGTGATGGGAGGCTCCAGAAATAGTTGTCAACCTCATCGAACTGGAGATGGGCTCTTAGGACAGCCAGGGTGCTGATTTCCAGCCAGGCGGGGCATGGGTTCTCCAGTGGGACCTGGACAGGGTTCACTGCAGCCTCTCAGCAGATGAACTAGGGAAGAGACACCACCCCAACCATGCTCCCCCAACCCTTGGGTGTTCAGTGAAAGTATCTTCTCTTTTCCTCTCTGCTTTCTCCCCTTTACAACACATGTTATCTTTAGTCTGCAAAACCAGGGCCAGGAAGAATCTTCACAGCTAGATGGGGCCATGAAAAGATGATGAGGCATATCAGGAACTATGTAACCTCGTAATAGTTGTGCAGCAAAACCTCCTGACATGCTGAATGAACAATCACATGCAGCCTCTTCAGTGCAAAACCGAGCTTATAAGAAAGTAAAGCAAATCTCTAGGGGCCAAATGAAGAGGGAACTGGAAGTCAGAGCTTCAAGTACGTGACTAATATGGTGTATCCCTTAGGGATGGGGGTGTTCCAGCTGGTTTTGGTAACCAGGGTTTGAAAGTTCATGTAGGACATTTGTATGGCTCTCAGTTTTTGGATATTGGTGAATAGTGCTGCTTAGAACATTCTGGTGTGTGAGTTTTTGTTGAACATAAGATATTTATGTTGGACAAATATTTAAGAGAAAAATTATGTATAAACTCAGATTTGGAGAATACTGCTGAACAGTTTTTCAAAGTGGTTGTTCATTTTAAATAATTAGAGTTATTTAGCATATGGGCCAAACACTGTGGCTCACATCTGTAATCCCAACACTTTGGGAAGCCAAGGTAGGAGGATCGCTTGAGGCCAGGAGTTTGAGACCATCCTGGGTAATATAGTGAAACCCCATCTCTGCAAAAAATTAAAATGTTAGCTGGGTTTGGTGGTGTGCACCTGTACTTCCAGCTATGCGGAAAGCTGAGATAGGAGGATCACTTGAGTCCAGGAGATGGAGTCTGCAGTGAGCTGTGATTATGCCAATGCACTCCAGCCTAGGCAACAAAGCGAGACTCTGCCTCAAAAAAAAAAAAAAAAAAATTCCAACTGCGATGACAACAATGTAGGCGCATTCTAATTACTCTGCATCCTCCCGAGCAATTTGTGTTGTTTTTTCCTCAGGCTTATATTAATCACTCTGGTTGGATTTGCATTTCCAGGATGATGAATGAGAGTGTACTTTCTCCTACGTATTGTGGGAATTTGATACATGCTCTTATAAAGTGTCTGTTCAAGTATTTTGCTCATTTTTTTCTAGTGGGTCATCTGTATTTTTCTTACTGATTTATATTTCTTTATATACTTGAAATTCTTGTGACCATAAATATATTGCAAATATCTTCTCCCATTCTTTAGCTTGCCTTTTCACTTTTTTTTTTTTGTAAAATTATTCTTCTTTGAGACAGAGTCTCACTCTGTTGCCCAGCCTGGAGTGCAATGGTGAGATCTCGACTCACTGCAACCTCTGCCTCCTGGGTTCAAGTGATTCTTCTGCCTCAGCCTCCCGAGTAGCTGGGATGCCCACTACCATGCCTAGGTAATTTTTTTGTATTTTTAGTAGAGATGGGGTTTCACTATGTTGGCCAGGCTGGTCTCAAACTCCTGACCTCAGGTGATCTACCTGCCTTGGCCTCCCAAAGTGCTGGGATAACATGCATGAGCCACCATGCCCGGACTCACTCTATTAATGATGTTTTTGATAAGCAGTTGTCCTTTAATTTATTAAAGGTCAATTCTCTTATTTTTTTTTATAGTTATTACTTTGTGTGACTTATTTAAGAAATATTTGCCTAGTCCAAAATCATATATGTTCCTATGATTTCTTTTAGAGGCTTTGTTTTTATATTTTTCAAATTTAGAACTATAATCCATCTCGAATTCTTTTTTTGTGTATATAGTTTTTAAAAATATATAGAGACTGATATTAATTTTTTTACATCTAGATAGCCAACGGACCCAACACTATTTATTCAAAATAATATTATCTCTCTTATTGTGTTGCATTGTTATCCTTGCTGTAAATCAAGTGACCGTATATCTATAGGTCAGTTTCTGGAGGTTGGGAAGTTCAAAATCAAGGTACCAGCCAATTTGGTTGGCTAGGCGTGGTGGCTCATGGCCTGAAGTCCCAGCTGCTTGGGAGGATGGTGTGGGAGGACTGCTTGAGCCTAGGAGCTTGAGGCCAACCTGAGCACCACAGTGAGACCCTGTCTCAAAAAAAAAAAAAAAGGATTGTTAGAATAGGTTAAACACACACACACACATGCACACACAATCTAGTATTCTAGTATGCGTCTTGTTTATGAGAGTGATACAGAAAGGTTGAAAATACATACTGGGGAATACTAATCAAAAGAAAGCTAGTTCAGCTATAGTAATAACAGCCAAAATGGACTTTTTAATACAAGTATAAAGCACTTTAAAGAGAAAAATAGTCACTACATATGATAAAAGGAGCCGTTCGTTAAGATACATTCACCTCCATTGTACCTAACAAGATCACCTTAAAACATATATAGCAAAAATTTACATAATTAGGAGGAAAAATAGACAAGTCCATCCTCATAGTGAGAGCTTTTAACATACCTCTCACAGTAATTGATAAACCAAGAAGACAGAAAATTAGTATGATTATGGAACATATGAACAGTATAAGAAACTTGAACAATAATTATATTTATAATTTTACACCCAACTATTAGAAACTAGACCAGGTGCAGTGGTTCACGTCTGTAATCCCAGCACTTTGGGAGCTCAAGGCAGGCAGGTCTCTTGAGGTCAGGAGTTTGAGACCAGCCTGGCCAACATGGCAAAATTCCATCTTTACTAAAAATACAGAAATTAGCTGGGTGTGGTGGGCACCTGTAATCTCAGCTGTGAAACCCATTCTTGTGCCTCAGCCTCTCACGCCTCTGTAGCTCTGTAGTGATTCCTTTTTTAAGATGGAGTCTTGCTCTGTCATGAGGCTGAAGTGCAGTGGCCCAATCTCAGCTCACTGCAATCTCCACTTCCCGGGTTCAAGCGATTCCCCTGCCTCAGCCTCTCGAGTAGCTGGGACTACAGGCACTTGCCACCATACCCACTAATTTTTGTTTTTGGTATAGATGGGGTTTTGCCATGTTGGTCAGGATGGTCTCAATCTCCTGACCTCATGATCCACCCACCTCGGCCTCCCAAAGTGCTGAGATTATAGATGTGAGCCACCATGCCTGGCCGCTCTGTAGCGATTCTTGTGTCTTAGCCTCTTGTGCCTCAGATTCTCATGCCTCTGTAGCTGGAATTATAGGCATGCACCATTATGCCTGGCTAACTTTTTGTATTTTTGGTAGAGATGGGGTTTTGCCATGTTGGCCAGGCTGGTCTTGAATTTCTGAGCTGAGGCAATCCACCTACTTCGATCTCCCAAAGTGCTATAATTACAGATGTGAGCCACTGAGCCTGGCCTAAAAGAGAGGATTTTGATTGTCCATAACACAAAGAAATGATAAATGTTCGAGGTGATGGTAAGGAAATTATGTCCAGACACATCACACACTGTTGAAAACCAGATACAATGGAAAAATCTTGAAAGCAGCCAGTAATAATTAACTCATTATATATAGGAGAACAGTGATTCATATGACTATTTTTCACCAGAAACCATGGTGATTACGCTGATTTGATCATTGTACATTGTATACATGTAACAAAATATCACTCTGTGTTCCATAAATATGCACAATTATTGCATATCAACTAAAAATAAAAGAAAAAATATCAATGCCGTTTAGATGGGCATAGAAGATCTTTGGATGCCTGGCTCCAAACTGATGTCTCATCTTTTTCCCTCTAGTCCCTTATGACTAGACTGATGTGGGGCCAGAGCTTAGGATCTGGAATCAGACTACCTAAACTCAAATTCTACTTCTTACCTGGTGATCATGTCCAAAGGACTTTAACTTTCTTAAACCTCAGAAAACTTCAACTGTAAAATAAGTATAACATTACCTAAGGGTTTATTTTGAGGAATAAATGTAATATTGTATCTAAGTAATGGCAAAATGCTTGGCACACAGGAATTGTTCCATGAACACGAGCTGTTATTAGCTAGACTGATTCGCCTGGCTGAGCCACTCATTCCACTGTAGGTCATCCTAATTCCTTGCCTTTTACCACCAACAAAACAAAGATTGCAACACATTAATGGCTGCCAAAATCAATTGAGTTTATTGTGACCAGCATTAAAAAATTTTAATGAAATGATACACAACAGAATAGAATGGATTGGAATTTAACAGAATTGAAAAGAACAGAATAGAATAGTGTTGGAAATAGATGTTGGAAATAGATGCTCAGTGCTGCAAAGAAAAATTAGCACTGAGACAAAGGATTTTTCAGCAATACAATTTTTACTTCCTGGACTGCAGGAAGGTTACGCTTGCTAGCCGTTGTTCCATGAAAGTACAATGAATAAAGGAAAAACACACAAATTTATCCCTTACACATTTGGGGTCATCCTTACTGCTGAGTCTGATCTCCATTGGTTGGAGTCAGACATCACAATCTAAACTAAAACCTGATTGGCTAACAACTTAAAACTTTTTTAAACAGGTAAAAGCAATGAAGACCTGGCACATGCCTGTCCAGCACAGATATCGTGGTTAAAGTACCAGGACATAGAATATACTACATGCCTGTAAGCATGGCATGTTTAACAGCTACATAGGATAGGGCTTAACAAAGTTATTAGCACACTTATTCTTTAACAAGAAAGGAAACTTTAAAAGGAACTTTTCTACTTTCCACAAATAGCATTTTTTAAAAAGTGAATCATGGATAGTTAGGGTAACGATTGTTTCAGTGTGTGGGTATAAACATATTTATTATTGTGAGTTTTGGACAAAAGAAGCTTGAGAAACACTGGTTTCCATGATTCCTTTTGCCTTGAATAATAAAGCTTAGTGTCACCTGCCAATGAATTTTCAACAGCTCGTTGGAGCCCCACTTCCTTGAAAAGTTTTCACATGATTTTCCTTGGCCAGAATGCAAAACCTATGGAAACCATGAGTGGGTTTTAAACTAAGGAGTGATGAAATGTGATTTACATTCTAAGAACAGGTGCTTCTGTGAAGAAGAAGCCTCGGGAGGGAGTGAGAGAAGAAGGGAGCCCACCTGTGGTCGTCTGAGCAACAGCAGAAGAACCTGGGCTACTGGAGTAGCGTTGGTGAGAAACAGGTTGATTTGAAGGTCATTCTGCAGGTAGAATGGACAGGTGAATTCTGTGAGATCCCCTGGGGTCCACTGAGCTTAGCTGCTCAGGCTCAGCTCTTTCTGTGGCTTCTTCTTGGTCAGCCTGCCCCCATTCCTCCTTGGAGGCCCATGCCACTCCCTACATTCAGAGTCCACTTTCTGATGCCCTCTTTCAGCTCTTTGCCTGCACTCATTTGTGACTGCCTGGTACTGCTAGAAAGCCTCTGTTTGTGTCTCGTCTCTCCAGGTGGACTGGAGATCCTGGAGGTCTTTTCCTTTGTGGAGGTTATCAATATCAGAATGGAGTCACTTATATCAAACCCTAACAAAATGGAGGTGGAGGCCATGAAGAACAAGGCTACGTGCATACATGCCTGTAACAGGACTTGTCACAAGGAATCCCTGCACATATGACAGGGACTATGCCAGGAACTCCTCAAATATACAGGATTTGAGGTAAGCCATTTGCTCAAGGCCAATTGCCCAACAATGGCAGCCTCCACCAATGAGACATTGCCAACTCCTGTCATCAGTGGTCTCTGTTTCCAAACAACTTATGTGGAATTCTTCTTTTTTTTGTCTTTAAAAGTTTTCCTTAGCCCCAATCTCTTTGGATACGTCCATGATTCATTATAGCACATGTTGCCCAGGTTGTAATCCCCTGCAATTCCCAAATAAGCTCTTTCTGTGGAGATCCTATCTCTCTCTGTCATTATTTAGGTTGACATCTTTTATGTCTTGCATTGCTGTTGATGACACCCAGATTTGTACCTCCTGCTTGGACGTTCCCACCCCCAACTCCAAAATTCCTATCTCTGTCTACTCGGTACCTCTACTTGAACCACTGAGAGGCATCTCAGACTTAAAGTGCCCCAAACTGATCTCCTGTGATGCCCCCAAAACTGCTCCTCCCCACTACCTCCCCCTCTCAGCCAGCGGCAGCAGATTTATTTTTCTTTGGGCTTTATTCAGTCCCCCAACCTTGGAGCGATTCTTGACCCCTCTCTATTGCCCACACACCATATTCAGTGTGTTGGCAAATCCTTTGGCCTTGCCTTCCAAAGACATCCAGAATCTGCTCACTTCTCACCACCTCCCTGTCTCACTCTGCGTCAGGCCACCCTGTGTGTCCCTTGCATAATCGCAGGAGCCTTGGGGATTGAGTCCTCCAGACCTTCTACCTCTTTGACTTCATCTTGTGCTACTCCAAGCCCCGTGCTCTTCCTTGGACATACCTGGCATGCTCCTGGCAGAGCCTTTGCACTCGCTGTTCCCTTTGTTGGGAAGTCTTTCCCCAGATATCTGCTCAGCCCCTTCCTTGTCTCTTTCAGTTCTCACTCAGATTCTCCTTCTCAGTGAAGCCTTTCTGGTCATCCTCATTAAAATCAAATAACCCCACCCCTCTGCTCCCTCACCCATTTTCCTCATTCATTTCCCCACTAGTACTAATCACTCTCTAACATTCTCTATATTTTTTCTGATATATTTATTTATATTTCTTGTATAAACAAAATGATTTGTTTTATTGTCTATCTCTTCTTGCTAGAATGTAAACTCCACAAGGGTAGGAGTGCTTGCTTATTTTGTCACCATTGTGTCCCTGGCTCCTAAAATGCTGACAGTGTGGCCAGCTACATGCCCTCTTCTCTCTGTTTTTTGAAATGCTTAGTAAGTTGTGGACAAGACTCTCCCCTTTCATTTTATGCTAGACCTGGCAAATTATGGCGCGGGTTCTGACTTCCAGGCACAATAAGTAATCTATTGAATGAATGTAGAATGTGGTGGTTTTCAAATGGAGAATGTGGTGAGATAGGAGGTTGCTGACTGGTTGACTGAATGGAGGGAGGGGTGATTATTTATTCATGCATTCATTCATTCATTAATTGACTAACATTCAACAAATATTTACCTGATATCCTTAGGGATTAAATTTCGTCCACCGATGGTGAGCCTCATGCATCGTGTTGTGCCCTCCACTGATTTGAGAGATTTTAGGAAGACAATACCCTGTGATGTAGGTTTGATCATCTCCACTGCCAGATGAGGATACTGAGAAGTTAAGGCATTGCCTGAGGTCACGTGGCTAGTAGAAGCCACAGGCAGGATTATGCCATGGCTGGCCAGGCTGAGCTGTGAGGGCAGCTCCTGTACTCTCGGCCTCCTCCTTCAGAATCCCTCCTCCTCACTCCCCATTCGTGGGCTCCTTCTCCCAGGATCAGGCAGCCTCTGCCCACCTTTTCTCACTTCACTCTTTCTCCTTGCAGAATTAGAAAGAATTGGCTCTCAGCTATTTGCTTCTTACTGTGGAGTTATCCATGTGTCACCTCTTGCAGGCAGAATTACATTCTGAAGGCATCTCTAACTGAGGTTGCTCCATGGGCAAGAACCCTTAGACCCCAGGAAGCAGATGTTAAGGCTCTGGAGTGAGGCAGGAACCCCAAAGCCCTGATGATACCCCAAGTAGGCACCCCCAAACCTGCTTACACTTCAGCCCAGGCCCCCAGTATAGAGATGGAAAAATAGTCCCACTTTTGGTCATAGAGTCTAGAAAATTGTGAAATCCTGGGGAAATCCATTTTGAGTAATACCTTTTAGAAGAAGGAAAAATGGAAGTAGTTTATCATAGCATGGGTTTTGTTAGACAAAGATGGCAATTCAGGTGGAAACATAAATTTAACAACTCTTTAAATATGCATAGCTGACATCTCATAGAGTGGGGCTGGTGACTAAGCCAGAAGTTACTGTCTGCATCCTTGGCAACTTCCAAATAAAAATGAGGACCAGACCTTAGTTAAGAAATGCATGAAAAACCTCTGCCATAGGAGCCGTGTAAAAAGATGGCGATTCCAAATATTTAACCTTAGCATTTGTCTTTGTGGTTTCATTTGAAAATGGTGGGGTGCCTGAAATTCTCAGAACTTAGAAAACTCTTCAGCTTTTGTTTGTTTGTTTGTTTTGAGACAGGGTCTTACTCTGTTGCCCAGGCTGGAGTGCGGTGGTGCAATCATAGCTCCCTGCAGCTTTGCACTTCTGGCCTCAAGGTATCCTCTGGAATACCTGGGACTACAGGTGCATGCCACCGTGCTAACTTTTACAATTTTTTGTAGAGCTAAGGGTCTTACTGTGTTGCCCAAGCTGGTCTTGAGCTCCTGGCCTCAAGAGATACTCCCACCCTAGCCTCCCAAGTGCTGGGATTATAGGTGGGAGGCACTATGCCCAGTCAAAACTCTATGCACTGAAATAACAAATACAATAAACAGGTAAAAAAATAGATAATAAATATAATAAATACACAAATATATAAATATAATATTCTATATGTAAAATCATAGTACTTTATGAATATTGTATATATAAAGTATATACTATATAAAATCAGAAATAAACATAAGAAATGTAAGTATTGAAATTACATTGTGAGCTTGCTTTTTGTACTCAGACCTTTCCCACAGTACTAGGATGGTTTCGTTGGCAAGTAAAAGAAACTGAACCCAAGCCAGCTTAGGACTTCAGGAAAATTGATTGATTGAATAAATGATTGATTGTTTCTGTGATTGAACAGACTGCCTCACCTCTAGGCCTCCCTGGCTTGATGCCCAGAGGGGTGAAAGGTGCTTCTCTCTTCTTCCAGCAGTTGCACGATGAGCTCAGGCTGGCCTTACTTGGACACATGCCCCTCCCTTGGGCTTTTGAGTTAGCAGGAGGGATGGGGGGCTGATTAGACAGACCTCGAGGGAGCTAGACACTGTGACTGAACCCCCCAGAATCAATACCGTCAGCGTTGGGGAGAAGCAGCTCCCCACAAAATAGGAAAAAGAAACAGTAATTGCCTATAATCTTGCTTTTCTTTCCATGCTGGTAAGAGACACTTTCCCTGAGACTGATAGAAAGCACCACGTTATAAAGAACTAGTACTCTCTCTTAGCTGTTTTCATAATTCCAGGTGTTGTGTGTTCCAGTCAAAGGCTCAAGAAAAGAAAAATTTCCCAAGAGAGAGGATCAACTTCTTCTTTATTTTGGGAACAGTCAGTAAAACGTGGTCTCTGGACTCAGGCTAACCTAGATTTCAATGCTGCCTCTCCTGTGGAGTGTAGGAACTTGGGAACGTAGGTCTGGTTGCCCTTCACTTTCCCCATTTGTAAAACAGAGATAAAATTACACCCCTCTTAGTTTTATGGTAAGGATTAGATAAAATAACATGTATTCCCAAATAGCACAGGTCTCGGTAGATTTTCTTTTATTTACTTTCTCCTTCAAATACCCACTGGGTAATTTTTTACCCCTTTAGAAGCCTTGGAAAAGCAGTGATATCAGATGCATTGCCTTATCTTATCACCTGTCGCATTCATTATGCTGAAATCATCCATTTAAGTCTCTCTCTCTCTTTTATTTTCCATCAGGCGGCTGGTTCCTTGAGATCCAGGGCCATGTGTTATCCATTTTTACGTCCCCAGTGTCAAACTTAATGCCTGGGAACACAATAGGAATTCAATCAGTGCGCAGCTGCTGAACTATTGAACCACCTGGTACAGCTTTGGAGGGTGACCGATCGATGTTGCCTTTAGAAAAGTAAGACTGGTGGATTACACACACACAGAGCCAAGTTAGGCTATTTTCTGGAATTTGTTTAACCCGGGGTATGTATTTATCTGGACCTCAAAGGGAATGTTGATGTGACCATGGCATCTTACAGGGAAATGGCAAGACAGGGAAGAGGTAACAGGTAGTTACGCTGCTGGGTTGGGATCTTCACTCTACCGCCTACTTGCTTGTGGAATCTTGAGCAAGTTTTTTGATATATTTCTACTGCAGTTTTCTCATCTTTAAAATAGTACAGCAATAATACCAACCACACAGGACTATTGGGATAATTAAATGAGACAATATGAAAAAGAGCCACTGCCAGCCGGGCATGGTGGCTCATGCCTGTAGTCCCAGCATTTTGGGAAGCTGAAGCAGTTGGATCACTAGAACTCAGGAGTCTGAGACACCCATCTCTACAAAAATATGAAAAAAATTACCTGGGCATGGTTGGCATTTGCATGGAGTCTCAGCTACTCGGGAGGCTGAGGTGGGAGAATCACTTGAACCTGGGAAACAGAGGTTGCAATGAGCCATGATTGTGCCACTGAACTCCAGCCTGAGACCCTGTTTCAAAGAAAAAAAAAAAGCCACTGCCTTAATACATCAACATATAATATGGAAGGGTCCCTGAGCGGGGGCCACAGGTTTGCTTGGTAGGCACTGTGTTTGTAGGAGTACAGTCTTAGCTGCCATAACAAAGAGACTCCAAAATACAGTGACTTACCAAGAGAGAAGTTGATGTTCCCATGTCACAGTCTCGAGGTCAGCAGGCCCTGACCTGGGGCAGCTCAATGTCCTTAATACATGCTTTCCATCTCTGTGTCTAAGGAGATGCCTCGATTCTTGTTCTCTCCTCCAGCAGTGGAAAGGTGGAAAGGGACTGGGTGTGGGGGTTGATGATACTATCAATTTTTTGAGGGCAAGATCAAGGTGTGACCCATATCATTTTTGCTGCCTTTACCCAGTCACATGACCATAGCTGCTGCAAGGGAGGCTGGGAAATGTAGTCTTTGGCTAGGCAGCCAAGTTGCCAGCTAAAATTTATACTAGAGAAGTATAGAAAAAGAAAAATTGGGATACATCTGCCATAGCGACTTAGGACCTCATGTAAAAAGGCAAGAGTGCTAGTTACCTCTCAAAAGGGCTCTTTGCTGGGTTCCCTTGGCAGCAAGTGCATGGTACAAAATCTAACTTCCCATGAACTAGAAAGGAATTCAGGAAATGATTCAGGCTCCCTGGCTGACTCAAACACTCAGGATCCTGGAGAGAAAAGTAGCCATACACCCATTTGGGGCTTGGGGTTTAGTTTATAATAATAATAATGACTTTGGCACAGAAAACTTCCTGAGGGTTAATGAATGACTGGCTTGGATTAATAGCCCAAATCACTGCTGAAGTCTATCAACTCCTTCCAGCTTCATATTAATCTACAGGAAATTCTTTATATACCCAGCCATTACTGCTTGAATCTCACAAAATAAAAATGAATGGATGTTTCATTAGAACTTGGAAAAAACCTTGATCACCATTGTGGGTGGCCACCATGCTATTATTATTATTTTTTTCCAGGCACATTTTCTGCATTTCCTCTGGTTCTCTTTCTGGCTTCAGTTTGCTGCAGTGGCACAGCAGCAGCTGGCCCTCTAGACTAACATCTCCTTGCTATTTATAGTGTACTTTTGCAACGCTCATTACTTCTTAACTTTGTCTTTCCAGATAGACTGGGAACTCCATGAGGTCCGAGACAACCTGAAGACTCCCACCTCATCAAAAACTGGCTACAGCAATCACTTAGTAACTATCTGTCGAATTGGACCTAATAGAATAGCTGCAGAATTTTAAACAAGTCACCATCAGTGGATTCCTCAAAGCAAACCCGGAAATCTCGACATGAGTCTGATTTGAGGCAGTACATTTTCAGCTCCTCAAAATGTGAACAGTTTCCCAAGAGAACAACTTGAAACAGAAAGGGGAGGATGTAGATGCGATTGTAGAAGATGATGTCTAAGGCCACCAGTTGTCCACTGTGAAGATAAACCATGCATGGTTAGTTGCTGGTGACTCCCCTTCCTGTGGGTAGTCCCACTGCTTCCCTGGCCTGGGAGTTCTCTGCCAGTAGATGTTATTGACAAAATAAGCAAAGTCCCCTGATTCAGAGAATGAGAGTTTCTGATAGCTCCAGATTGTCTCTGCCATGCTATTTACACTCCTGCTTTATTGTCCAATACGAGTTCAACATCTATGAGGATTTGTCCAGTGCAAGTCCTGAAAGATATCACCAGCACACCTTGTCACCGTGCTGTCGTGAGCTAGGCAGTACAATAATGTTGGCAGGACCCTGTTTAGGTGGAGGATGGCTACCTGGGCATCAAGAATCTTCTACTTTGATTCCACATTGATTCCTCAAAGTGGGCTTCAGACAACTCTTCACTACATCTTCCAATTAAAGCAGTTGATGGGCATCCCAGCTAGAGAAAAGTCCTGGGAGCAGTAGAGGTGTTAGTGGCTTTAAAACCAGGGGTGAAGATTGTGTTAGGAGGTTAGGCAGGAGAAGGAACAAAGGCTTAGAAAATGCTTGTTTCCTTCTATTGTTCTTATGAGAGCTGATATGGGGATTTCAGTTTTGGGGGAGAGCCTTGGAAGATAATGAGGGAATTTAATCAATAGCGGGACCTTTCCAACTTACATTTCCTAGTGTTTGTTGGATGGTACGTTAAAGGTTCCCAAAACAGAAAGGAAAGCTTGGTGACACTAAGTTCTGGCATGCTGTCATCTTCTGACTTGGGGTCTTGTGCTTCTGTTTTTCTATTTCTGACCAAGGACATGAAATGTGTTGTGACCTCTCAGATAATGCTATGGCATCATGTCCAAACAGTAACTAACCAGTGTGGAGTTTTCATATGTAAAAAAGTATTGAATAGTTCAGCAACAGGGAGGATTTCATGATAAACTGCTTTCTTAACAAAGGGACAGACACTTGTGGTTCTTTCATTGAGAGCTTTAAGGAAGTTAAGCGAAGCTCCGCTCTCTCCTTCAAGTAATGATGACCCATCAGATTGTGGTCATAACCAGCAGCATCTGAACCACCCCTAACCTCTCTGGGCCCCAGATTCCTTGTTAAGTGAGGTGCCTTCCCAGTTTACCATTCTAGGGGTTCCTGAGGAGCTAAAAATGAAGGAGAAAATGCAACGTGTACCAAGTAAGCAAGGGCTCAAGGCTGATCTCTGGCACAAAAGTGACCCCTGTCCATTAGAGTTGTGCTTGCCCTAGATTTCCTTTAGGAAATGCAGACATTGAACCCCAGCCTTCAAGACCTGAGCCCTGGCTTGTATCTATTCTATATGCTTTCTGTTATTTGATAAGGCTCACAAGGGATAGTCATTTTTAAATTTTTGTCGTTTGTTTTTTGAGAGACGGAGTCTCACTCTGTCTCCCAGGCTGGAGTGCAATGGTATGATCTTGGCTTACTGCAACCTCCACCTCCGAGGTTCAAGCAATTCTCCTGTCTCAGCCTCCTGAGTAGCTGGGACTACGGGTATCACTCCCAGCTAATTTTTGTATTTTTAGTAGAGGTCGGGTTTCACCATATTGGCCAAACTGGTTTCGAACTCCTGATCTCAAGTGATCTGCCCTCCTTGGCCTCCCAAAGTGCTGGGATTACAGATGTAGGCCAGTACACTCAACCCGTTTGCTTTCTTTCAAGCCTTTCTGTAAGACCAGTACTTTAGATGAATGCCTGACCAGAACAAGATCATCACTGTATTGCAGTATGAAGACCAACTGTACTATGGCCAGAGAAAACAGAGGCAAAACGTTGAGCTTAATAATACCTTTTCATAATCTGTATTTGGTGTTTCTCAATTTCCCATTGGATAGTTTGAGAGATAAATACAAGTCAATGACATGTTCTCTTTCTTACCCTTTTCTCTTCCTCTGCTAACACACACACACACACACACTCACACACACACACACACACACACACACACACACTGCTTACTTATTCTATCTGTTCCCCAATTATTACACTCTCAATTGCTGCTGAGTCTCAGAATAGGCATGGTATATGGTATAACAGAAAGAATACGAGGCTTAGAATCCAAAAGCCGGAGTGTGAATTCCTGCTCCACTGACTTGCTGGGTGACTTGAAGCAAGTCATTAAATGTCTCTGTTTCCTCATTTTATTACTTTCCTACTGCCTCTGTAATATATCACCACAAACTTGTTGATTTAAAACAACACTCATTTATTCTCTTAGCCTTCTGGAGGTCAGAAGTCTGAAATAAATTTCATTGGGCGAAAATCAAGATGTTGGTGGGACCAAGATCCTGTGGAGGCTCTGGGAGAACCCATTTCCTTGCCTTTGCCAGCTTCTAATGCTGCATTCCTTGCATTCCTTGATTGGTGACCCCTTGCCCCATCTTCAAAGCCAGCAGAGCAGCGCCTTGTTTCATTGCCTTCTTTCCTGTCAAATTTCCTTCTGCCTCCTGCTTATAAGAACACTTGCGGTTGCATTTAGAGGCCGCTATGATAATCCATAATAATATATTTATCTTAAGATCTTTGACTTAGTCTCGTCTTCAAAGTCTCTTTTGCCACAGAGGGAAACACACAGGTCTCAGGGGTCAGGCTGTGTGCTTCTTTGGGGGACTTTATTCTGCCTACCACACTAATCTTTATTTATTTATTTTGAGATGGAGTCTTGCTCTGTCACCCAGGCTGGAGTGCAGTGGTACAATCTCGGCTCACTGCAACCTCTGTCTCCCAGGTTCAAGCAATTCTCCTGCCTCAACCTGCCAAGTAGCTGGAATTACAGGTACCTACCACCAAGCCTGGCTAAATTTTGTATTTTTAGTAGAGACAGGATTTCACCATGTTGGCCTGGCTAGTCTTGAACTCCTGACCTCAAGTGATTCGCCTACCTTGGTCTCTTAAAGTGTTGAGATTACAGGCGTGAGCCATTGTGCCTGGCCCCACACTCTTCTATTAAGTAGAGCTAGAAATTCCTATCCTAAGGGACACAAAAACGAAAAAAGATAAAATCTGTGAAGAGGCACATAATGAAAACCCATACATGTCGCTGAATCTGGAGGAGGGAGGGTCTGACCTCCCATTGGCTGGTCTCTGCCCCGATGGACATCATGAAGAATGAGAGAGCCAGGACTAGTGTGTCTGGGGGATGGTCAGGGGTCAGGGTGGCTTCAGGTGCCAGCAGCCCTGGCCAAAGGATAACTCCAGGAGCAAGGCTCAGACCCAGGTGGAAGATGCTTCAAGAAACGGCACCTGAGACAGGCATGGTGGTGTGTGCCTGTAGTTCCAGCTACTTAGGAGGCTGAGGTGGGAGGATGGCTTGAGCCAGGAGTTCAAGGCTTCGGTGAGCTATGATCAACCACTGTACTCCAGCCTAGCTGACAGAATGACACCCTGTCTCTAAAAAGAAAAGGCACCGTGGATGCTCATGACTGAGGCGGGTGGGGTGGAACAGTCTCACTTTATAACTGCTTTCATCAAGATGTGGAATTGTGTCTCCCACATGGGAAAACCGTTTACCACTTAGAGAGCAGACAGTTCTTGGTTACCCCACAATGCTGGACCCTCATCATGCAGGCTTAACTCCCCCATCAAGGGCCTTAATGCATTTGGGGCCCTAGCCCTAGCAACAGCAGCAAATCTCTTTTTTCTGTTCCTTGAGCTGGTTGTTCACCAGGCAGTTGTGATGTTACATTGGGAGAGAAGACACGCACAAGTCCCTTGTTTTCAGGAAGTTAGTCTGAGTCTGGTCACGTCCTCAGCAGGTTATTGTTTTCAAACTCCTCCTCTCCCGCAAGTTTTATGATCCTGGGAATAAGATTCCTCCCCAGCCTTCTTAAGGTTGTCTGGGGTTAGGATCGGTGCATGCAGCAACGTCCCTGGAATGATCGGTAGCCCTCCAGCCTCTAGGGGAGAGCCACCAGTGGTCAGAGATGTTGGGAATTACCAGGAGAAGCCAGGGAGAAGGAACCCATAGTCCATTGGTGTCTGAAGGTGGCTCCTGGCAGGGAAGCCAGGAGAGGGGGACACTCCTAGGTAGGGGCTCTCCCAGAGAATTCCAGGGGTCCCCCCAAGATCCAGTCACAACATGAGGAATTGCTGTTGAGCTCTTGCTCAGGTGCGCCTGTAAATTCATATCACAGATGCATGATGCATTTGACATTTGTTTAGTTGCTTGAGCCCAACTGATACTCTTTCAGTCACTTTAAGGGAGTGATTTCATGTATGATCATTGCCTGAAATCTGTATGGTTTTCCTTGCCTTTGAGGTGCTTTAAGAGGACTTGTGTCCTTTGACTCCCCTAGTAACTCAGGAGAGTGGCTAAGATGTAATATTGGAGGTCTCCAAGCTCTTTGCAAAGCCTGCCTTCAGTAGTCTGTGCACCACAAGAAGCATAACTTTATTATTCTCCAGAGTGTATATATCTACACACACATTCCGGGGCCTCAGAGGCCCTGGAGGCCCCGGAATGTGTGTGTGTATAAATATACATACGCTCTAGAGAATAATAAAGACATACGTGGGGTCCATCTGATTCACACTGATGCCCATGATCATTGGTCCACACAGGTCATCAAGGAGCAATTTTCCCTTGGAAGCTCCAAGCAAAATGTCAGCTCCAGCATTCCACACAGCTCTGGGCGCCGCATTCCTTTTCCTTTGCAAAGATGCTGATCTGCTAGTGGTGAATGCTCCTGGGGTTTTGTTTGTAGGTTTTTTTTCTTGTCCCAAATGTGTACATTTCAGCTTCACTCTTAAAGGATATTTTTCATGGGTAGAGGATCTAGGCTTTTCTTTTGGATTCCAATGTGGCTTTGAAAAGAGTCAGTTGACTGTTTATTTATAGCTTCTTTAAAGGCGATCTCTTTCTTCCTAAGACTGTTTTGAAAGTTTTCCTGGCTGGACCGGGTGGCTCATGCCTGTAATCCCAGCACTTTGGGAGGCTGAGGCGGGCAGATCATGAGGTCAGGAGTTAGAGACCAGCCTGGCCAACATAGTGAAACCTTGTCTCTACTAAAAGTACAAAAATTAGCCGAGCATGGTGGCATGCACCTGTAATTCCAGCTACTCAGGAGGCTGAGGAAGGAGAACTGCTTAAACCCAGGAGGCAGAGGTTGTGGTGAGCAGAGATCACACTACCACACTCCAGTATGGGCAACAGAGCAAGCCTCCATCTAAAAAAAAATTTTTCCTTCCCTCCCTCCCTCCCCACTACCCCATCAGTCTTCCTCCCTTGCTTCCTCCCTCTCTCCTCCCTTATCTTCCTCCCTTCCTCTCATTCTCCCTTCCCCCCTCTTTCCTTCCTTTTTTCCTATCTCCCGCCTTCCCTCCTTCCTCCATCATGATATATTAAAATATTTTTCTTTTGGGCCTTTGCTTCTTTTACTTCTTTTGATACTGCCATTAAATGGATGTTAGGTCGACACACTGTATACTCTAAGTCAATTACCCTCTCTTT